TCCCGCACCAGCAGAAAGCCAGCAGGACCTGCCAGACTGTCTCCAGCATCTCGGGAGCCGGACAAGGACGCGGCATCCCCCGGCTGCCCAGAGCAAGGCAGCAGCGGCTGCTTGGGACACGCTGGGACATCGGCGTCTTTGCTGCAGAGGATGCTATTCAAGACAGACACCAAGTATTTCAGTAGGGAAAATAAACTTCGTACCTGGTGCCTTGATAAAAGCTTCTATTGGAGCCCCTTGTTCTGGTTGGGGTTGAGTAGAGAGAAAATTAGGATTGATTAGAAAAATTGACCTCCCCAGTGGCTGAACATGCCAAGTAAGGCCTTCACAGCTCTGCTGGGGCAGTGCCACAAGCGGTCCTGGTTGGAGGGCAGAAAGTCTCCTCTCTGGATGAGGAGGGAATGAGGAACGGCCCGTAATGTGGCTCTGAGCTGCCCGGGCTGCCCCCAGCAGCCCCCAGCCCAGCAGCAGCTGGATGGCACAGCCCTGCACAAGGAGGGTGTCCCCATGTCACCCCGGTAAGCTCCAGGGGAGAGAACACACCGGAGCGAAGGGTCTGCAGTGACCCATTCACCCGTTTACACCAGTGGCCCCGCAGCAGGCACAGGGAAAGCTGCACGGGGAAACCGGCAGTTTCTAGCTTGTCCCTCTGCTCCATCACATGAGGGCGTTTGCTGGACCCTGACTGTCCCACTGAGACTCCTGCGGAGAGGAACAAGTCCCCGGAAAGTAAACTTAACTATCTGTGAAATTTTGTATTTATTGCTTAGCTCATTAATCTCTGCTGAAGAAAAAAGTCCTCCTGATGTTTTATTCATGATGATTTGCTCCTTGATTCCTTCAGCTTCTGCTGAAGGAGCAAGAGGACCCGAAGGGCACCCGGGAGCCCTTGCGCCGATGCGAGCTCACAGCCCCCGCGCTCTGCTGCCCCCACCGCAGCCCGGCTGCGCATCACCCGGCACGTCAAAAATCACTCTCGGAGTAAATACACTGGTCCCAGCGCTGATCTTTAAGGGGATATCGAATTGTCCTCATATAAAGAAGGGGGAGACTGTCCACGGCAGCAGCACGAAGCACGGCACAAAGGTTATTAATGCCCCAAGCAGGACACGAGCCCCGGGCGGCCGCACCACGGACCCGCGGCACGAACGTGCGCCGAGGTCTGCTGCCTTCTCGGGGCGCAGGTGAGAGACAGGGCCACGGAGACCTGCACAGGCGCCCACGGGGCGGACCCCTCCTGCCCACGGCACCCTGCCCAACACCTCGCAGCTTTCGGACCACCCGCAGTTTTTGCCCACGCTTTTCGCACAAGGGAGTCGCCCTGTGACTCCTCCGGCACAGCAATCCTGCGGCGCTGCCATCCTCCTCGCACCACTCGGCATGACAGCACAGGGGAAACCGCCAGCACCTGCAGTAAAGGTTCCCCTCCTCTGCCAGAGACCTTCAACCCCACCGGTACCAGCAAGAAGCCCTGTGGCCTCTCACAGCACTTCAAACATCCATAATATGACCATATTTGCAACAGTTCGGCACACTTTTGCTCCAAGCCCTGCAAATTATTCCTTATTCCCACTTCATCAGAGCCAGGTTTAGGCTGGCACAGGCTGTAATCCGGCACTTGCTGTTGGGGAGAGGTGGTGAGCAGGATTTTCGTAGGTAAGAAGCACTTCAACAAGATGAAAAGAAAAAAGCAGAAATATTCTCGACTTCCTTCACCAATGTCACAAACACACACGAGCCCACGTGCACAAACAGAAACGCACACGGGCACGCTCACGGCTCTCGTCGCTGGGGCGGTGGGGTAATCCCCACCACGAGCCCGTGGCCTCTGCGGGAGTGCACATCACTGCGCGTTTAACGAAACGACAAGTGACAGGGGCGGCTGAGGCCAGCCTGACGCTCAACTTGGGGTTTGCTCCTGTAAACTCCGTTAAGTGCTCCTCGCTGTTTTATACGATTCCCATCAATAAAATATCACACAGGTGCCCTCCTGTATCTCTGAATCTAGCAAACGGACTGAAGAAACCTGAACAAGTGGTCCTGACTGTTAAAGTCATGAGGAAAAATCACACTCACTTAGTGATGGGCTGTAGAGCAGAACCCATGGTACACGCCAGAAAAGCAGGCACTAGCCTCAAACGTGTTTAAAAGGGATTAAAGGAAATCACACAGACTATAAAGCATTTCACACTGTGAAAAAAATGTGGTTCCCATCAATATTTTAAGCTCCCCTAACATTGCCTCTATTCTGAAAAAGCAAACATTAAATTATTCACAACTCTGCCTGATTTTATAAACTCCACTCCGACGTATGTGGGTTTACGCCTCTTAATTAACCAGTGTACAAGCAGAAAAGGCATAAAACCAGATGTGGGCACTGCATCCCTCTGCTGAATGATCCGCTGCATCCGACAGCCGGAGGGGCCCTTAGAGAGGGACAGCGGCCAGCACGTAAGGCGGGAGTCGTGCACGGGTGCCCGCAGCCGCGCAGCAGGAGGAGCTGCTCTGGTGCCGCACCGCCTGCGGGAACACTCTCCCCGCGGATTTCAGAGCTGACACACACACACAGCAAACCCGAGCAGACCACAGCCTGCCCGCCGCTCCCTGCACGGGGCGAGAGCTTGCCATCGTCCCCAGACACCTCTGCCACCCTGCGCCACGCGCCGCCCGCGCCGGGACAGCCGCGCTGCTGCCTTCCGTCAATGGTTATTAACACCCCAACACAGAAATCGCACCGGGCACCGTCCCGGGCAACTCCTGCCCACGGTCCTTCTTCCCACACCAGAGAAGCAGCCCCAGTGTTCCCCTGCAGCTCTTCCAGGCCCGGTTCTCGCCGCACGGAGGGCAAAGACCCCAGGAGCGCAGACCCTCGCCCGGGGGCGGCTCGCCCTGTGCCCCCCGGCCGGCGCTGGGCTGGCGGTGCTGCACCAGCAACACGCGCGTGCAGAGCCGTCGACTTCAGAGGACCTAATTCAGCACAAACCACTTCCCCACGGTCTCAGGAAGGAGAATGCATTTCGGCACTAGCTGCATTATTAATCTGCAACAGATTTAAAAGCCCTTTAAGATAGGAGCCGATGCCTGCCGGGAATATAAATGACATCGTCCCGGAGTGAACATTTACATAGCTAATGCAGCCCTACTCCTGCAGGTAAATAGCTCCATTCTCTCCTCAAACACTTTTATTTAGTCCCATGCTGGGGCCAGATTAGAAAAAACACAGTATTAATTTTGCATCCCGCAGACTAAATAGCATCTTTCCTTTTCCCCTGCAAATACAATGAACAATGTCTAATTCCCTCTTGTGACTGCTGAAGGGGAAGGGCAGTGCGAAGGCTGCACGCGGAGCTATATTTAGAGGAGCAGGGATCTGACACCTAAATGGGGTCCTGTTTCTTTAATTTTTCCCCTGAATCTGCATATCTGCAGCCAGTGCTTCCCTGCTGCTGCAAATGACCCCCGAGACCATGCATCACGGCCACCGGGGAAGTCACCGCTGCTTCAGGCATCCCCCAAGTCTCCCTTTCTCCTGACCTCCAGCCCCATCAGGCACTCCTGTGATGGGCTTCCAGGACGAGGGGCTCCAGGGCTCAGGACTCCGCTGGAGATGGCACGCTCCACAAAGCGGCTCCGCGAGCCGTCCGTGCCAGCCGTGGCTCCACGTCCCGCCTGCACAGGGTCCCCTCCCATGCTCTTGCCCGAGAGGGGTGTTAGAGGCAAACCAGACTGAGAAGCCGTCTCCCCAGGAGATGATCTTCTTCCCCTCTTTGCCAATAGGCACAGGTCAATCATCACCCACGTGCTGCCCACGGTGCCAAAGCCAGAGGACCCGGGCCACCGCGGCACCTGCGGGAGGAGCAGCCCCAGCCCGGCGCTGCCCCCGCGAGGGGACACCTTCCGCAGCAAAAACTCAAGTGTTTCATGAAACTTCCCGAGCCTCAGCTGCTCGGCTAATTCTGAGTCACCATCTGCATCCGGAGACTTGACAGCTCGACAAGAGACATTGATTTTGAACAGATTACAAGATTAATCATGCCATATTCTTTATGCGTATTTCAGTTCCTTCAGGAGTACGCAGTGTTGAGTAAGGGGCTGAGGTTCCCGCACACCCAGAAGAAAAGCTTATCACAGACGAACGGCGAAGGCACAGGTTGGGATCACGGACTTGTCGCTTCACTCCCTGCAGAGGATGGGGCACTCGCTGCCCCCACCAGCCTCTCGTCCCCCATCCCCTTCAGAGCAGGTGAGGGAGCAGCTCCTAAGCACCGGTGCCTCTGCCCTCTGCCCGACACGAGCCTCTGGAGAAACAGCTCGTTATTAGACCTCGTTAGGCTCACCCCTCCCTAGCTTGTGTGCTGGCTCAGGAATAGCCTGAGCTCAGGAGACAGATCTTCCCAGAGCTAAACCCATCCTTGAACAGCAAAGATCCTAATGAGGAATGACACCTCCACTGAAGAGCAGTCCGCGGCACAGCATCCACCCAACGGATTCACAGAAATTATTACATGAGGGAAGAGAAAGCAACAACATGCACAAAAACATTTGATCAAATGGTGGGAAAATTATTTATAACAAGATCAAAGTTTAATCTCTTCAGATGAAATTGTTGGCCAATTCCTGCCACGAGGTATGTGAGGATCATCTGTCTCCATTAACTGTGGCTTGGCAAAGGGATTTCATGCAAATTAATAACGTAACCACAGAGGAACAGACAAGGACACAACAAGCCAGAGCTGACTTTCCTTAGGCATGGCTACAACTGGGGAGGGATCCAACCCCTCCGGCCGGCCCCGGCCCCATCCGCACAGGCGGGCCGGGTGCTTGCTCCCCCTCGCATAAGGGAACAGAAACGCGAGACGTGAAGTGGAAGGGGACACTCACAGTAAGAAGTTGTGCCACAGACCGGCATAGAAGAGAGAGATGGAATCAGTATTTTTTGTTTCCAAAGGATAACCAATATTTGAATTTTCCCTATTTTAAGGAGAGTTTTTTGTGAAGGGGCTGAAAACGTTGCTTCTTTGAAAGCACTTCTTTGTGATTTGTAAATTCACACTGCAGCTGGATCACAGAGCAGACCCATCCCTTCAGAGCCCAGACTGTCACCACGCTCGCTGCCGTGGGAGACAACGGGGCCACGGGCTGCCCCAGCACAGCCAGCTCCTTACCTCCCCGTGGCACCGACCAAAACCCCCTCGAGAGTGTTGCAGGTCGGTCTCCATCTCCCCTCCTGCCTGTGCCGCCACGCTGCCGCCACCGCTGAGCACCACTGTGCCACTGGACCAAACGGAGAGGAAGCGCGGCACTGCCGCGGCATGGGGCAGGCAGAGCCTGAGGACGGTGCCCACACCACCTCCAGACCCCACGTCCTCCCGGCGATGGAGGCACGGAACCGGCCGCTGAGCCAGTTCCCACGCACCCCAGAGGTGACACGCGAGTGTGAGACAGCGCGGGCAACTGTTTTCCTGGCGTAATGGGGCTGAGGCACCGCTCGCCTTCAGTGGCCGCGTGTGCTACACGGCAGCCGGACCTGTCAGGCCCGTGGGGGCGGT